TTTGTTCTAATGTGTATAATACAGATTTCATGTTGCACCAACCTTGCATTCCTAGGATAAATTTCACTTAATCATGGCATGTAATTCTTTCAATATACTGCCAGATTTGGTTTACTTGTATTTTGCTGAAGATATTTGCATGTTTAATCATTAGAAAAATATTTGTGTTTAGTTGATTTTTTGTCCTTATGTTTTCTTTGGCTTTGGTATAGGGTAATGCTGGTCCCATAGAATGAATTGAGGTGTTCCTTTCTTTTATGGAAGAGTTTGTGAAGGATTGGTAATTCTTCTTTAAATGTTTAGTAGATGTACTGGTTGGATAATGTTCCTTTCCAATTTATGTCTACTCAGAACCTCAGAATGGGACTTAATTTTGAAATAAGATCTGTATTAGTTTTCTGGAGCTGCTGTAACAAAGGACCACACACTGAGTAGCTTAAACAACATAAATTTATTGTTCTGGATGCTAGTAGTTCAAAATCATGGTTGGCAGAGTTGGTTCCCTCTGAGGGCTGTGAGAGACCATCTGTTCCAGGAATTTCAGGTATTTCTTGGCTTGTAGATGATTTCCTCTCTTCTCCTTTCTTCATGTGTCTATCTCTATGTCCAAAATTTCCCTTTTTGTAAGGACATCAGTCATTGGATTAGGGCCACCCTAATGACCTCATTGTAACTTCATCACCTCTGTAAAGACCCTATTTCCAAATAAAACCACCTTCTGAAAAGTACTAAAGGTTAGGACTTTAGCATATCATTCTTAGGTGGATACTATTTAACCCATAACAGTTTCTTGGGAGATGCAGTTAGTTAAGAGGAAGCCATACTAAATTAGGGTGGGCCCTAAATCCAATATAGTGTTCTTATACAATGACGCAGACACACAGAGAGCATAATGCCATGTGTACACAAAGGTAGAAACTGGAGTGATGTATCCACAAGTTTAAGGATTGCCAACAACCATGGAAGTGAGGAGGCATGAAGCAAATGTTTCCTCACAGTCTCCACTACCTATCTCACTCAAATGCAAGTATTTGATCATCAAGGCTGTTTTCCCCCCAGTCCTTTCCTCTGTGGTTCCATTGGGAAACTTTCTGACTTATGTTTAAGTTCAATAATCCATTTTTCTATATTGTCCAATTTGCTGTTATTCCATTCAATAAAATTTCTGGTATTTTTCAGTGTTAGGATTCTTACCTTTCTCTTTTCTAGTTTCTAAATCTCTTCTGAAATTCCCCATGTTTATGGAATCAATTTTTTAGTATTGATGAATTTGTTAATTCCATTATCTAGGTTAGCAGTGGGTCTCTTCTTATTGACGATTTTAAAAAATAATAGTCACTTTCATTACTTTTTCATTGTATACTAGACATTGATTGATACATGCAAAGGATTCTGTGTTGTTATCTTCAACGGACTGTTGATTTATCCAAGAAAGTTCAATCAGTGGCAGATGAACTTGATATTACAGAGGCTTGGTTTTACTCTTTGTAAAGTCCAGTCTTTTCCCATTTTGTCTTTGTCCCTAGGAATAGACCTAAATCCTTAAGAAATGGTCTTTATTCTTACATATGGGCCTTCCTGGGTTTCAACATAAAGTCTAGTGTTTAGCAGCCCTTCCAAATTGGAAGACTAAATTCAAAACTGTATTTTGGTACTGGGCAACGGCTAAGATCTCTGCTCAGATCTTTCTGCCTCCCAGTTGTTTCCCCTGGGCTTTTTGGAGTCTCACCCTGTGCACACTTAAATCAAATCAGCCAAGGATTTGAGGAAACATTTGTATGCAGATTTGGGGGGTCCCCTGGGACTTCCTTCTGTTTGGGATTTCCTCCCTCAATTTCCAGCCACTCTGTTTTCTCCGTAACATTTCTGACTCGTCGGCCTGAGACAAGTCACCATCTGTATGAACGCTCTAGTGTGTTGTGTGCACTGGAGACACCCTCTGGGGAAAAGCTACAAATAGGTCATCTTACTCAGTGAAGGTCCAGGCCTTCAAATATTCTTTTCCAGGGTTATGAACTTATTGGCAAAAGGTTTAGTCTGACAAAAGCTATTCTCACTTTGCCAGAACTTTAACATCCACATTGGGGGCTTATTTCCTCTTTTTGGTAGTGATTTTGTTATTTAATTTGTGGGAGTGTAGGGGCTTAATTTCCACCCCCCAAAAAGATATGTATTCTAATGATTTCCAGCAAGTGCCATAAATCTACTCATTTATTCTCGATCTGTAGACTTCATGGCTGTGGTTTTAAACCCTTGTTCTATGGTGAAACCAGGCCTTGTGATTGCCAAGCGGCATCATTCTCATCACCATTTACTACCTGGAAAGGGGCAGGGTTAATTTACCCTTTGGTTTCCTTCACAAGGTGGCAGACTTTTTTACCCACCCCTTTCCTTGTGTAATCCCTCTGACCATTCCAACTTTATGCAGGGATCTTCAAGACTCCAACTTTGTTCAGGCCGAAAGCCTAAGCTCCCATTCCCCAAATTCTGATTATTGTATTTTGTTCACAGGAGAGGAAGGATGTTCATATTTACTTCTGTGGCTTAAGTTTATGTATCCGTTTTTCCCTGGCCTTTAGAAAACCTTGATGCCAAGAGGGTACTATCTTCCTTATTTCCCCTCAGTGTTTTATTGAGGTATAATTTACCTACAATAAAAAGCACATATCCTAAGTATACAGCTCAACAAACTTTATAATATGTATGCATGAATATTCTCTCATGCCCCTTTCCAATTTATACTCACCCAGAGGTTATCACCCTATATTTGTTTTGCCTATTTTTGAGCTTGATATAAATGTAACATCGTTTTTCTTGTTCAGCAGTATTTTTTACTTACCCATCTTATGATCAACTCATTTTTTAAAAATTGCATAGTATTCCAATATACCAGTATTTGATTAGCCATTAACCTGTGGGTGGATACGAGTAGTTTCCCGTTTGGAGGTATTATAGATAAAGCTGCTATGAGTATTCTTGTGCAAATCTTATTGTGGATGTATGTACGCATTTCTCTTGGTTGTATCTCCAGAAGTGGAATCAATGAATCATAGGGTACGCATATATTTACCCTTATAAGAAATCGACAAGCTGTTGCCCAAGATGATCACACTAACATACCCTTCTAGTTGCTCCACAGTCTCACCTTGGGCAGGTACGCAGTGGCATTTCCTTGTGGTTCCGTTTGGCACTCAACGGCTGATGTTAAGTACCTTGTCCTGGGCCAGTTGTGCATCTGATAGCTTCTGTGAATCGTATATTCAGTAATTTATTTTTACATTGTGTTGCTTTTGCAATGGCTTTTTAGTTGTTGTTCTCATACTAGTCCTTTGTCAGTTGCATCTATTGCAAATATTTTCTCTTTGGCTGTGGCTTGCCATTTCATTTTAACAGTATCTTTTTTAGAAAAAGGGTTTAACATTGGTGAAATTTATCATTTTTTTTTATGGTTAATGTCTTTTGTGTACTAAGGATATCTCTTTGCCTGCCCCAAGAGTCATGAAGATATTGTGTTCTAGATTGTTTTGGCCTTCACATTTAGGTCTGTGATCCATTTTGAATAAGTTGTGTAATTGTGTGAAAGCATCAATGTTTGTTTCTCATACAGATAATCCAGTTACTCCAGCTCCAACTAAAAAAACCAACAACTTTCCTTTCCCTATTGAATTGCTTGGTGTTTTTGAAAAGCCAATGACTGTGTGTATGTGTGTGTATACACACACACGTATCTATTTCTGGACTCTTTTCTATCCACTGATGTGTCCTAACTCTAGTACTATACTCTTAATTACTACAGCTTTAAAGCAAGTCATGAAATTGAGTAGTGTAAGTCTTCCAATTTTTTCCCCTTCAAGTTTATTGTGACTATTTTGGGTCTGTTGCATTTCTATATATATTGCCAATTTATACAAGACTGCCTTATAGGATTTTGATTTCATTGAATCTATAATTTATGCAAAACTGAGATCTTAACATTATGCAGTCTTTCAATCCGAGCATAACATACTCACTGCAGTGTTCTATGGTTTCTGTCAGCAACATTTTGTAGTTTTTATAGGAGTCCTGCACATCTTTTATTAACTTTCTTTGAGGTATCTGACTTGCTATTATATTTTTAAATCAAAATTTTAATTGTTTTGGCTGGTGTATAGACAGTACAACTAGAGTTTTGTCTCATATCCTGCAAAATTTTTAGTTCTGGTACATTTCTCAAGGTAATCTTCACAAAGTCAGAGGCCCAGCAGGGCGTGGCTCAGCGGTTGAGCACCGGCCCAGGATCCAGGAGATCGGGGTTCGATTCCCAGTCGGGGCACATGCCCGGGTTGTGGGCTTGTCCTGTCAGGAGCATGCAGGAGGCAGCCAATCAATGGCTCTCTCATCATTGATGTTTCTCTCTCTGAAATCAATAAAGATATATTTAATAATAAAATAAAAAAGAGAATGGGAGCAGTTTATATGACTAGAAATACATCTAATTTTTCAAAGTGTAAAAAGTGATTCACCTCCTTTTCACAGTTATCACCTCAGAAACATTACCTTCTGATTTTCTTTCTCCTTGAACAACATGTAATTCTGGAGTTAGACTTGCTTTTGGCATTCTTGGGAAATGAGAAGACCACCAAATCTTTACAGAGGAACCTCTGTTTTCCAGTGAATGTCGAACAGGGAAATGAGGACACGGCCTGCATGCTGCCCTTTTTAGCAGAATGGTGAACAAAGTACTATTTTTCAAGGATGCCAATAAGAATAGAAAGACATGTTAAAATGGATGAGACTGGAGCAGGGTGGATAAATTTGTGATATTTAAATTATCTCTGTCACATTTATGAATTCTTCATTGGTCAAATAACAGTCCCATCTTTTCATTCTTTGCTTGCTTTTTTCATTCATTCTTCCCAGTTTGATTTACAACAGAGTGATTAGCATATTGCCTAACCTCCAAATGGATACAATGAACAGGGACCCATTTTAACTTTAAATAACACCAATGTAAGGCACAATTTTTCAGGAATATTTTATATTTCCAAAGTATTTAGGAATTCTTTAATTAGAAAAATAAAGGCAATGGGATTATCTATCAGGTTCTAAAAGTACCCACGAATTATAAATCACTCACATCCCCCTCTTAAAAAACAAAAAACAAAACAAAACCTTAAATCACACCACTATTAAGCTTTCTTACAGTAAGGAAGAAAACCAAGCTATGCTAGAGTACAAAACCTGAAATTCTGACCATGAAAATAATTTAGTGATTAGACTTACTCAAGCATTAGGCCTACTGAAGATAGAATTAACACAGCTCATGGAGCAGGAACAAAATTTCATCCAGCGCTGCTTAATTTCAAATTTCCTGGGGACAAAATTTTGCATTCTGTACTACAGACTCACCTTAAAGCATCCACATGTGCTTGATATTAACTNATTCTGTACTACAGACTCACCTTAAAGCATCCACATGTGCTTGATATTAACTTGAATAGGATATGAGATTTTTCTGTACACTCAACTTGGCAAGTATCATTAGTGATGCAACTTTCAGAAACATTCTTAGGCACAAGAAATAGCATTGCCTGCAGTGAAAGTCTTTGATAATCAAAGAAAAGAATATCATTTAAATATAATCTTACAAATAGAAAGGGAAATATATGCACTTTTGCCAATGGACTGCTTTATATATCAGGAAAAATGTCACAGTGAGATTAAAACAATCAACTTTTAGTCGATACTCAGGTTATTTTTTGCAGTATTAGAAATCAGGAAAAAAACTGATTTATATAAATTTAGGGGAGAAGTGCGTGGTTAATAATATGGAATAACAGCTGCACTTCTTTGGCTAACTCATTGAAAAATGCCAATTAAACATTTTCAGTCAAATTTTATTTTTTTTAAAAAAGCAGCAGATCAACATTACAATTCAAGAATCTAATCTAAATATGCACTTGACAATGAAGCACATCTGAGTATGGAGTGAAAACAGTTTTCAAAAAAAAAAAAAAACATCAAATGTATCATCTCCAAATACCCAAGTAATAAATCACCTCTGCAGGCCTTTTGTTGAGTGGAATAATAAACCAAAAACTGAAGATTTATTGCTGTGAAAACAAATCTGTAGTACAGTAGTATGAATCTTGGGTATTAAGCATAATCAACTGAATCAAGTTAAGATGTTGAAAATCTATGTGTGTGTGTGTGTGTGTGTGTGAAAGTCTATAAGCCAGTTGACCCAAGAGCAACTGAGATACCTAACTGTTCAGTGAGACCAGACATTATTTTAAATCTCCATTTTTGGAAGGCAATTAATTACAATTCCAACAGCCCACAAACCAAATTTTAAAAATTGTAGAAAGCAATTAAAACTACGTTCAAAGAGCCTTTTCCCCCAGCTCAGTTTCAGCACCCCAAGGAGAAATAAAAAAGCATCCATGACTATCACAGATGAAAACAAAATAAATGTCATTGGAATCAGTTCTTTTTCCCCACGGAGGTATAAAATCTATATAGAAATTTGATTCTATACTATAACAAATTGTACTTCTCATAGTTCTGTTTTAATTTCCTTTAAACCCTGTTTAATATAGTTTTTTATTGTAAAAATGTTTCCATGATTCTGAATCTGGTTCCAGTTCTTTTCATATATCTTTATATCAATATTTAATATACTGGCTACCAGTTCTAGTCAGAAAAAAATCTTGGAAATCTTCATCATGACAGCACGATCAGCAGAAATTACTGATGTGCAAGCAAACCCTAGAAGGTGCAGCTTTCCGGAAAGCACATTTTGTTGTTTCGTTTTCGAATAGTCTTTACAATGATTCTTGACTAAAGACTCTTTCAATCTTGTAAACATCAGTGTGCACAGTCTCGCTACATTGTAGTTGCTCGTCCTTGGACAGGAAGGCTGGTTCACAGCTAGTGAGAAGCAAGTCTAAGTTTTAATGGCTGATAAACCTTACATCCTGCAGGAGGAAGCACTGTTCCTTTTTTGCTACTTAAGAATGTGGCAGAAATGTATGCTGAGGTAGCCCAGTCAATCCTTATTTTTCTCTTTTTGTGTAAATTTGGTCTCAGAATATTTCTGGAAGGGTGACGTTTCGAAGAAGCCATTGCTGTGACCGGCTTCCATTGCAGTCTCTGATGCTGGGCACCTGGCTATCCTCTTCTGTAGCTTTATCCAGGCACTGATTACTGTTCACATGCTGCAGGGTTAATTTCTGAAAATGACAAAAAAAGTATTAACATGAAAGTGGAAAACAAAACAAAAACATGTTCTCAACCATCATTTTTGGTGATTATTAAATTCCTCAGTAGAGAAGGGATATTTTTGTTTGGTTTTGTAATATAATTTACTTAAGTAACTAGAAAAAAGGCATCTATGTAAAGATAGCATGAGAGCTATGTGGGAGGGAGAAAGGCCCTGGGGTCCAGCGGGTTATAATGAACTTGCAGTAGAATGACCTAAATTCTAAGTCCAATCCTGCCAAAAGCTCTGTGAGAAATTTTATTTTTTTGTGCTTCAGTTTCCTAAAAATATGATTGGATTAGTGGTTCTTAATTTAGGTGCCTTAACCTATTTTCAAAAAGCTATTTAAAATTGTTTCATTTCCCTATGATAAGGCTGTTCAAATTAATTCTGATTCCATGCAAGTCCTTAGAAACTCAGGTCCTTTTGAAGGCTCAAAATCGTAAGAAATCATAAGATTTATAAAGCTGTCCTTAATAAATGGCTAATAGAACAGCTGTATATCTTTCTACCTGTTTATATTCTAAACTGTCATGTTAATTTTTAAGATAATTTTAAAAGGACAGGACAGATGAGAGCTAACAGATACACACTGACTCACAGTAATGAATCTGATATTTATTAGTGCCCAGGTCAGGGTAAGGATGCCAAAAGCAACTGTGTAGGAATCTGCATTAAGAGTTATCCTATAAGTGTGCACATCTAAAGGAAATGTGAAATACGTTTATTAATATACATTTATATCACTTTTCACTTATGGCTCTATTTTAATGTAATTCTTTTATCTGGAACAATTTGTTTTCATAGACCTTTTTTGTATCTATTTGAATTTAAAACCTAATGATTGTATACAACTATTTTAGCTTTCAATCATTTATTCCATATTGTGGTCAAAGTGGAAACTGGCAAAAGGCAGTACACATTTGCAGATGTCATAGTTTACTACCAACACTGACTTTAGGTTCAGTATTGCATAAGTTAATTCTTATAAATGCATAAGAATAGAACCTGGACCAGAGTCAGCATGGTTGTGATTGTTTTTTATGCAGATGCTCTGTAGTTTACTTGTTGAGAGGAAGGACTTTGCAGTCAGACATTTCTAGAATGAATTCCAGATTTGTCACGTACCAACTACAGCCATGCACTGCTTAATGATGGAGATGTGTTCTGAGAAATGTGTCATTAGGCAATATCATCATTGTGCAGACACCACAGAGTGGTACACACAAAGCTAGGCAGTATAGCCCACTACACACCTATGCTGTGTGGTATAGCCCGTTGCTCCTAGGCTACAAGCCAGTACAGCACGTCACTATAGAAAACAATAGGAGATTAAGTCAAGCACAAGAGAAATTGATGCGATCAGGAAAATGACACGGTAAACACAGGATGTATGAGGCTACTGCCAGCTTACACGGCATGCTGATTTACAGCAAATTTTGTTCATACATAGAAAGAATAGGTTACTATACTTGGTTATTTTTAAACACATAAACCAGTAACAGTCATTTGTTACCATTATCAAATGTTATGTACTGTACATAACTGTATGAGTTGTAATTTTATGCCACTCGGCAGCCCAGTAGGTATACACCGGCATCATCACCAACAGGTGAGTGCTGTGCTGTGGCAACTATGTCACCAGCAACAGGAATTTTTCAGCTCCATTGTGATCTTGTGGGACCACTGTATATGTGGTCTGTTGTTGACAGAAACGTTATGCAGCACATGACTGTGTTTGCCCCTGAACAAAAACCCTTCTGAGTCCCAGGTTCCAAAAGATTATGTACAGAAAGTGCTGTCTAGCTCAGAGTAAGTTCTTGATAAATGGCACTCACTACTGGAAAACTCAATATCCTAGCAACATCCAAGTAGCCACGAACGCAATCTGGCAGAACAGAGAGCTGAAGGTCCCCAAGCACACCACTAGCTGCCAAGGCCTTTCGTCACGTGTAAGACAAAGCCCCTCAGACGTTCCAGAAGGCCCTGAAAAGCTTCTCTGACTGTCACCCTTCATCAGGCCCACTGTATTGAGAAAAATATAAAAATTAAACACAACAAAAAATTTAGTTGGGGAACTGGTCCTTTCTCGTCCCAATTTCTAAAAATATCTCACTTATTTAGATTTATTAAAATGAACTCCTAACAAAGACACAGGTTATTGCTCCACGCTGGGTGCAATTGAATCCACACCAGAAACGACTCACCTCCAGGCTTATTAAGACAAGTAAACCCCTATTGTTTATGCTCCTATAAACAAGTTCTATGCTACCCAACTGATACACTGTCATTTTTCAATCAATATACAATTAGGAGGCTTTTTAAAAAAATATTTTGGTTGTCACAGTGACTGTGGGATGCCACTGGTATTGACTGTCTGGAGTCAGAGACTACACACCCTGCAGGATGTGGATGGTAGCCACACCCCAAATAGTAGTAGCACATACCACGGAAACCCTGGAACTGAATATTCAGGCAGTTTCCAATGGTTATTTTAACTGAGCTACTGCTATATTTAACATTATTTTTACTACAGTTCGGCATGGTGGAGGGAAACCCAGGAACTATAAAACATGGTGTTTGCCCTCTAGAGTCTAATAATCTATAGTGGAGAAAAGACTGGTAGATTAAAAAAAACAAAAAAACAGAGAAGCACAGCATTAGAGGGGGTCAGAGAGAGTTATAATTAAATCAGGACAGAGAGCTAATTTCTGGCTGGGATTCATGGAAGTGATATCAAAGATGGGCCCCTAAGAATGGGTAGGATTTGTTAGGCAGAGGGAACTGTATGATCTTAAATGTAAAGTGGGGAAAGTACAGGATAAGTTCAGGGAACAGCACAGCAGATGGATGATTAAGTAGGCCAGGGTTTGTATATGACACAACACAGGGAGAAAAGACGGGTGGCCATCATTTAAGGGGTAGAATGAAAAAGCAGAGTGAGTCAAGCAGGCAAAAGGAACAGAGAGAAAGCTAAGTGAAGAAACAAAACAGTAGTGTATCTAAAGCCCATGGATAAGAGGATTTTAAAATGTCATCCGCTCAGCAATAGTAAGTGCTATGAAAAGCTAAGGAAAAAGACGGGGCTGCTCCTGGCTTTGCACCCAGGAGCCGCCTCTAGAATCTGGCTGACGCAGGAGCCAGGGTGGGAGCAGCAGAGGCACGAGCACTGGCCATGCACTCACCATCAATCAACATGGGAGAAAAGTCGGAGGGCATGCAGAAAGTAAAGTAGGAACAAGAGTCCTTCCTTACATGAAGAACACTAGTGCTTGTGAGCAGAAAAAAGAACCAGAGAAGACATCTTGAAGATGCTGGTGTTGGTTCCAGAACCGTAAACACACAAGGTGGGAGGGTGGTCAGATATGACGTGAGGGGGAGAGGCTTCCTGGAGATGCTGTGATTGAAGTACCTCTATGGGAGTGAGTACAACATACACTGGGTGGGGGAGAGAGAAGCTCCAGGGGAAAGCAAAGATAAATATAAAAAGTTTTGTTATATATGTCACTGAAGTATCATTATGAGTCAGAGAACTTCATTAATTGATGCTCACCTTTTACCTAAATGTTTAATTCAGTAATTAAAAAGCCTACTTACTGCTCCATTTCTCCCATGCTAGACTGCAGAGCTTGACGACATAGAGAGGAACAGTGGCTACTGAGTAACAACAAGGACCCAGGGACTGGAGGCAAGACTAATTTAATTACCGGGGAGATTAAAACATGTTTATTTTACCCACATTGCTTTTTCCACCTGTCAATTTTTAGAGTACAAGAACAATTTGACTTATATTCAAACTCCCCAAGAATTCATTTTTTAGCTATAAAGTATATAAATATACCCAGCGACACACATAACTTTATATATTTTATCTTATATATAAATGAATAACTTACCATGGGATCATACTCCCAAAGTTGGTTGCCTTTTAGGTGGTGGCATTTGAGCATTGTGACTGGGCCATTGAGTTTGGAGACATCCAAGCAGAGATCATCCGTTCTGATTTCTTTGTTGGCTGTATAAGAGAAAACCTGAAAACAAACATGCACACATGTAAGCTTTAACAGTGAAATCAGCCAGCATTTTATATGCCCAATATATCTGGAAGGGAAGGAACAAAGGATTCAAGACACACAATTCTGAGCTTTATTAATGTAACAGAGAACAGCTGACTCAGAAAAGCTACCACCAATTTCACACAGGAAAGAAAGTTCTCTGTATACACGGAGTGTATTGTCAAGGACTGTCATCTGTTTGACTAAAAGGGCAAAATAAACCTCACGCACAGCAATGTAAACATAGTTCTCACAAGAGGCCTTTTATAAAGTTTCCTTTAAAAATAATCATTAGATTGAAGGCTCCCTTCTCCTAAAAGTCTTTATTGTCTTCTCTGTAAAGGTAGGAAAATATTTCCTGAATGACATGTGATTAAAAGGACATAAAAATCTGAAAATTACCCCTTTTAAAGCTTTAGTAAAAACTCACCTGATTACCTCCCATACCATGACAGTTAAAAATGCCAACTTTTTCATTCTCCTTTCTAGCCATGTTATCCAGACACTGATTTGTTTCCATATTTCGTATCTATGGGACAATGGATAATGAAAACATTCGGAGTTAAAGACGTTAACCAGACCCACGTAAAGATACACACGCATTAAAATCGACCTAAACTTTCCACTGTTATAGAATAACTTTAGATGCTTGACAAAGGGCTATGAGTTGGGGGGAAATTCACTGGCTATCTAAAATTCTGTGGTCTAGAAAGGTCTTATTCTTTATATATATATGTAACTTGTGTTTCATGGACAAATCCTTATTTCTTTCATTTTTTTTCAAACTGTTCTTCTAGGATTTGTATTTAGTTCAATAAGCTCTATTTTGCCTAATAATTTAAAGCAATTTAACAACTTCCTGTGGACACTGTTAACCACAAGTTAAGGGGCACTGCTTTTGGTGACTATTCTGATGACTTAGGCCACTCAAGGTAGATATTTTCTAATCAAAGTTTGGAGCTTGACTTAACTAGGAGCCTGAGCATGGTGTGATGCAAACACCACTATTTTGTGAGATAACTGTCAGTTACATAAAAGGAATTTAAATCAGTTATCAAAATTAGGAAGAGTATTTTAGGCAATGCCCCTTGACATTGTTTCCTCTGAATCATTGCAGTTTAAAAGCATATTGTAAACTAACAGACATTTAAAAGTCCTAAATCTGTTCTCATGGATAGCAGTAGCAGCTAAACCAAAGGGAGATGTGTGACAAACTACATCCGTAATATCATGTAGATAGAAAAAAAAAGTAATTTTGTGTAGTAAAGTGGGGGTAAATTTAAAAACACAAATAAGTCATTTGTTTTTATAAACAAATGTGTAGTCTACAAAAAAATATAAGGCACCAGTAAGTCCATATGCATTTTTTTTCTTATAAAGATACAAAGACTTAGGTATGAAAAACTATTATTCACAGGCTGTCAGGAGTAGGAACTGGGATTACTGGGATTTTATTATAAGTGAGACCTGGGTTTAAATCCAAATGACCCAAACCTTCTGAGATCAATTTTCTAACAGTAACTGGGAGATAACATTGGCGTTATACTGAGGTTAGGTAAGACACTGCATCCATGTACCTATTTCAGAGTCTAGCACATAGTAAGCTCAGAAATAGTAACAATCTTCATTGCTACTTATTGCTAGTCACCTTCATCTTGCTATTCCATCAACCTTCAACTCAGTTCAAGCAAAACAGGATTTTCCAACTGTATAATACTAATACTTCCTCATCCCAGTATTTAAACATGCCCCTTCCACTCTACCCTTGACCTTGAGAATTGCTATCTAAAACAAACCTCATTATCAGTCCTCCAAAAATTCCTCTTTTCTCCTGATATCCTATTTTTGTTAATAATCTCATAATCTGTGCAAGTATTCAAGATGGAAATCTCAGGGTCCTTTCTTTTCTGGGTTCAACACATATCAGTATTCAGGAGTTCTTTTACCATGAAATTCACATTACCTTTTTTACCCATTATTTTAATTCAGAAACCTATTACCTCATAAACAGGTTTTTATAAAAGGTGTTATAATTAGATATAAATTTGCATCAAACATCTTTCTGCACTCTAGTGAGTAATCAATACTTGATGATCATGGCTACCTTACTTGAAAAAAAATTCGGTCCAGATTGTGACAAAATGAGTCTATCTGATATATTCTTATAAAATAATTACTTCCTTGTACTTCTGAAAAAATGAGAAACTCTCCAGTCCTCTTTAATTTTTTCCTTTCAAATACAGATGCAAAGATTGCTGAAGAAAGGTAATAAATGTCATAGAAAAGACTAGAGAAGACCCAGTGTTATCCTTGGCTTCTCTGGAATTGCCTTTTGGTTAAATAACTGATGCGCTTTTACCAAACTCAAAATTAATACAAATCTCCAAACCTCAAAAGTAATAGGGTTTTTTTATCACTCTGTAACTATCTTATAATCAACATTGGTTATTTTGTTTCCATAACTGATGTTGCTAACTGTAGCAAATACATTACCCTTACTCTGTGCTAGGCATTGTTCTATGAGTTTTGCATGTAACAGCTTATACCATCTTTAACAACTTTCCTATGAATAATTCGAGATTGTTTTCTGACATGAGAGATCTAAGTCTCTATCCCTTGGGGTCACTACTGACTATAAAGTATTAAAGGTACAGTTTCTTCAAGGACTGGAAACCACTGCCTTCACCAATTGTCAGAGTGACAATGAACCTTGGTCAGCAAGATATGGTCAGAGACTTGGTTGTGGGCTCTGATGGGACCTGACAGTGTTCCTCTAAAATGCAGGGGGTATTGGGAGTGATGCCCTGCACATCCAAGGTGAAGCAGGAACCTCTCTAAGGGAGCAGCTATTCGTGTTTTGGTCCCTGGGTGCCTTTAACATTAGAAGGCAGAGAGGATTCTGTTTGGCCCCACAAATGTGGTATCTTTGTAGCTGAAGGGGACACCTGCTTTCCAGGCTGCATCTTCTACACACTGGAGGGCTGGAGAAGACAGTTTTCAGACAATATCCTTCTCCTGGTAGGAATACATGTGGATTACTTCACCTATGGGGTGTGTAAGATGATTTCTTGAGGACATGAAAGATCAGGATGACTAGAGGAACAATTCTGTCCTTTAGAATACCAGTTAATAGGTTTGGTTGGGAGTTAACTTTGAAAAGTCTTTGGAGGGGAAAAATTAGAAACAAACATTTTCTAGGGATATTGAATCAGGTGTAGATGTTCAAAACTGTAATTTTATATGACTTTAAGGCTGTGTAACCAATGACGAGCTTTCTAGTGAGGTGTGGACGGTAGAAAAGGTGGTGACATATACTTGCTCCAGTGTTTACATTGGGATGCAAACAGGTACAACATCTGACACTTAAAATTCATTGGAAAAAAGCACATGGAAAATACAGAATGACATAAAATGTACAGGCATGTGACCAGGCAGAAGAGAAATGATAGGAAAGAATTTAAGACTGGTTAATGTAAGGAAGTTCTAGCCAAATGTCTTTGTTGGATAAAAAAAAAAAGAGAACCTTCTGACAAGTTAGAAAGTATTTTGAAGTATAATCTAAGGACAAGATGGGCTAGCTTTGGGGTTCTCTTACTTTAAGAGGGCTCTATCCCATCCTCTGGTATACATACAGTGTAGATCGACCAAGAATGCTCAGTGGTCTTATTACACAATGAATTCCTTCTAGTTTATTTGGATTCCAAGTTATATCTTGATGTCCATCTTGGAAAGAGAAATAAGAGCAGTCCCCTTGTTTGGTAACTTGGTACTTGGTGATTATCAGGATGTCCAATGCCAACTGAGATTCTAAATTATTAAGGACACTTAAAAAGACTGATTTGATATGGAAAAAGAAGGGAGCTTTTCCTCACTGGAGTAGATAATCCTTAATATAAATGTGATCTGATGTTCTCCTTAATGGAGCAGAAAATAACTACTGACAGGATGGTTGGGAATTTGGATGTACATATTCTAAATTATATGAGAATAAAGATGATTTTGGAGAGTATACAGTAGTTATGAGTTTTTAAGACACTGGGTTTGATAAGCAAATACGAACATCCCAACTTTAGGGCAAGGAGAGAAATTTGTGGAATGATGGCAAGATAGATGGATAACCCCCTTTATTGGCTATTGTGTTAATGCCTCCGCCACTGTCCAATAGAACTTTCTATGATGATGAAAATGTTTTATTTATATCTGTGCCGTTCAATAGGGTAGCCACTAGCCGTATGTAGCTAGTGTGACTGAGTAATTGAATCTGCACTGTATTTAATTTTAATTAAACAGCCACATGTGGCTACCCCAACTGGATGTGCAGGACTAGATGCTGACACATAGAAAAGAGTCTTCCACCTTTTGTGAGGGCTACCTGTCAGTGATGAGAAATAGTGCATAAGCCTGCTAAAAAAGCTGTTACCATATCCTTGGTACTCTGTGGAAGGCATGTGGAAGTGCCCAAGTTTGGTTAGTACTTTCTGGAATTAGCAGACATCCTAGGGGACCTAAATGATCAAGGGGGAAGGTCTGTAGATTAATGATCCTTTTTATATGTTTCTTTATGACTGAACAACACATCTTTCCTTATAGAACTAGAACTGCGAATGAACCAATTGTCAATGAGCCAACGGTTGTAGGCACCATGTATAATTGTGAAATAGCCAGAGGGTGAGGAGTTGTTAGAAGCAGGGAGTTTTCTACTTGAATCATAGCAACATCTGAACTATGGTGGTCAGGGAAATAGTCACACTCCCACGTGGAGGTAGATGGGTAGGTGTGAGACTGGGTGTGGGGATATGCAAACCTAGGCCTCACTCCCATCTCTACCATTACTAGCCATGAGACCATCGACAGGTCAGGATCCTAAGACAGTGATTCCCCAAACCACGATCTGAACAACAGTATCTGGCCATTAAAAAGGGGGTTTTGTGATTAAACATGTTTGGGAAATACCAGGTTAAACAAATTTAAATAGGTTTCTTTACTGAAGGACTTCTCAAAGCCTTTTACATGCTGTGACTCTTGGTAGGAGTAGGGACTGGTAGTACAGAGGATATAAAAGGCATTTTCCAAACATTTTTGGCCACAAAATCCACCCCTTCCTCCTCCACCCTTTCTAATTGAGCAAGCAACTTGAGGGACAACAGATATCGTCATTCTTTACACAGTAATTGGGAAATGTTGCTGGAAGAATCTCACCTGTGAAACTGGGATCACAATCTCAGGTTTGCTGAAACCTCTCAATGAGGCTTAGCAGAAACTGACACATAGTAAGCCCACAATGACTGTTGGTTTCCCTTCCTTATGCACAGATCCAGCAACTCTTTAACTCCTGAATTAGCAACTTAGGTTTACACAACTCTCACCAAAATATCATTTTTGACCTTAGGAGCTGAAAATAATTGTGAATGCACTCATTCTTGGGAAACAGGGAAGAAGTTGGAGCCTACGTTCCTTAATTTCTGTTATAGCCTCCTCCAGAATCTTGCTGTCTCTATTAGGGTGGACAATGTAAGTGGTTAAAAGATTTTTAGATTCACTTTTTTTACTCCTTGCCTTATGGTAAAGATTGGTTAGATATGAGAAAGAGTATGGGGATTAGTGGTTAAGAGCACAAGCTCTCAAGCCAGACTGCCTGTGTTCAAATCCTGCCTCTTCCTTCTACTTTGTGGCTGTGACCTGAGCAATGTTGTTTAAACCACTTATTTATTCCTCAATTTACTTACCGTGAAGTGGGGATAATAGCACCTATATCACACGTGAGGATAAAAAGAGTTCATACCTGTAAAGCACTCAGACTGGTGCTTGGCATACAGTTCATGCTCACTAAATCTTAGGATTCTCAGATCTGCCTGGAGAAGCAACTGGTCAGTCCATAAGACTGGCTAAACCATCAAAGGTCTGAATTATTCGCTTTCTGAGGTGGATGTTTAGAATACTTATCTCCTGAATTAACAACTGTTAGATATCACAATGAAACACATTAATTCAGTTCCAGGTCCTACAGAAGCTTATGAGAGTTGGGCTCAGTGAAACCAGTGATTAAATTTATACCTTCTAACTTCCCTTTCTACTCTAAAATCCTATGATTTCAGGTTTCCCTGCGCCCTTGAAGGGAAGATCCTTGAAAAGCTAAATTCCAGTCTCTACTGAAGGCAGGCTCACACAGGTGAAACAAATAATTCAGACCATCAGAGGTGGAGAAGGATCTGGACCCAGAAATCAGAGCTTTCATCTGGATAGTGTGGCCTGCTATTAAGGGCACACAAGCTTAAGGCCAGCTGCTTAAAGAACAAGCAGGCCACAAGGGGTTAAATCTGTTCCTTATACAGAGAGCCAGCTGGCAAGAGGCAGGTAAAAGGCAAGTTTGCCTTGGCAATCGCCTACGATGGGTTAGACAAGTGGCTCTTTGTGATACACCTACCTTCTGGCCCAGCTAACAATGCCTAGGTGTTGTCCAAAATTGGGTCAGTTCAGAAAAACCACCTTTCCATTCCCTATTCTAAAGGCAAGTTATAAGAGCAACTGCTATGACCCTTCCCATGGCACATCCCCTTCCTCAGGCCTTTCTCAGGGGAATGAGGCTACAGCAAGGGAGCAGGTGTTCATTAACAAGTCAAGGAACTCTGTGTCCCTGGTTTGAGGGTGAATTCCTTAAAGCACAGCAAAGCTCAGAGGTAGGGAACTTTCAACCCTGAAGTAGCCTCAGTAACTACTAAGGATGAACACAGGAATCTGCTTGCTCTGGCCCAGGAGAAACACAACCAGGTCCAAAGGTTTCACTCTAACTCACCAGGATCTGGCTCCCTCTGGGATCTATTTACTACTTTGTTTCTAACTCACATATTTTCCTCTTTCCCCAAGGCCCCATCACCAATACTGCCTCTTCACTCTTATCTGAGGAAGCACGTCATTAGAGAACTTCCTCACACTTCCACCACACACCACCAGCTTCTACCCCCAGATGTACAAATGACCTGCACTAGCCGCCTGCCTTCTACCTTCTTCCTGCATCAGTGGATGAACTGCCCTCACCACTACCTACACTGCGCACCGGAACACATCGCCTCCCACAGGACTCCTACAACCAGCGGCTTGACTTTAGCATGTTCACATTTCCCTTTTTTGGGGTCATTTGCATTGCACACAGTTTCATCACAGCAAAAATAAACAATCAAATAATCCTTCTGAAACCCCATATTCCCCTCCAGCTACCACCCATTGCTTTGCTTTTTTATAACCAAATTTCCTCCAAGACTTGTCCACTCATGATCCCCTCTTCCTTTTCTCCCTAGATCCCTTGAAGCCATCAGGGATTTTGTCCCTACCAATCTCCACGGGAACCCTCCTGACACAGTAAGATGGAGCACACCTACCACTCCTCCCTTGCCAATCCAATGACAGTCCTCAGTACTTGTCTTACTCAACTTCTCTGCAGCATTTAACAGTCAATCATTCCCTCTCTTGAAACAAGTCCTTCACCCAGAATACTCTTTCCCCAGAAATTAATATGGCTCGCACATTCAATTCCTTCAGATCTCTGCTCAAAAACTACCTTATATGGGAAGACTTTCTCAACTACCCTACATGAAACAGCACCACTACTCATTAGCACCAGTCATTCTCTATCTCTTTTCCCTTACAACACCTGGCATACCGTGTATTTAAAAAACAAATCTTCCTCCAGAGATTGTAAGACCCACAAAAACACTGCCGTATTCCCGGTACTTATAACAATACCTATCACATAGCAGCTACTCAAATATTTGTTGACTGAATGAAAGGAATGAAGAGGGACAACCTCCTACAAATTGGGGGTAACTTTTCCTGAGTGTCAGGAAGATTCAATCCTGGCATGGGGTTGGTTGTTGCCCTGTCCACACATATCATTAGTTGCTGCTGTGACTTACAAAAGGACATTTTATCAATTTCTGTTGCAGAAAGGTTGGATTTCCCCCCCTCCTATGTGGCTTCATGTGCTTTCTCTAAGTTAATAACTAAAAGTTTAGAAAGACTTACAATGAATTGCAGATTGACCCAGTTGGCAAAATTCCTTTATATAAGCAATGACCTTCCACATACTTTTCTCTAGGCTATTAAAAAAATGGTGGTCGTAAGCAGCTAAAGTGATTTATAAGCCACTACTGGATTGAGACCAGAAAACTGAAAATTACCGCCTTGACCTAATAAAGAGAGGGATCTGGGGAGTTAGAAGATTATTGAGAAAGGACACCTAGAATCTTTATGGCCCACTGATTTGGGGTATTACACTGCAGTAAAGGAGAAACACTACTCAGTGGGACATAGCAGCACAGTACTTCTGCTCCAAGTAGGGGGAAAACAGTGAAACTGCAAAAGTCCTATTTTTGAGGCCATGGAAGCAGTTAAGACGAGGTGAACTCTAATTTCAGAAAGGGAAGAGTCCTTGCCAATGAGAGCTGACCATCACAGTTGTCTTCCTCTTCGAGGGCATTTGCTAATGGTGCAGGCAGAGGACAGGCCATGGCCTGAAAAAGTGCCTTTCCCCAGGGAAAGATCACAGTGGTGATTTGGTTATGTGAGGCTGGCAGGACAAATAAAAAACTAGAGGGGCCCCAAATTTAGGGACATTTGCTGAGTTCTGGGTGGGCCGAAAGCTGGGGCTGGAAAACAGAAATCTTCCACAAATTCCTGCTAGACAGAAAACCTGCAAAAATTAACATTGGTCTTTCCCCTCAGTAAGGTAGAAGGGTAAAGTGCTATCCTAAAGAAAGGCAAAACTTTCAGAGTTGAGGAGACAGAGATCCTGGCATGCGATTACTCGAAACCCTGGAAGACCAGACCTAAGAAACATAAATGGGCCAGAAGTGAACCAAGGTTTTCCATATTGTAACCTAGCCCCACCTAGCTCAATCCTTGTTATAGGTTGAACTGTATCCCCCAAAATTCATATGCTGATATCCTAACCCCTGCTACCTTAGAATGTGATGCTATTTGGAGACAGGGTCTTTACAGAGGTAATCAAGTAAAGATGAGGTCCTTAGGGTGGTCCTTAATCTAATATATCCTTATAAAAAGGGGAAATCTGGAGAGAGACATGCACACAGAAGAAAAGCATTTGAAGATAAAGGTGGAGACTGTCAGCAAACCACCAGAAGCTGGGGAGAGGCAGAGAACAGCTCTTCCTCACAGACCTGAGAAGGAAGCAAACCTACCTACACCTTGATCTCAGATTTCCAGTCTTCAGAACTGTGAGACAATAAATTTCTATTGTGCGAGCTACTCAGTTTGTGGTACTTTTTTATGGAAACCCTAAGAAAGTAACAGACTCCTTGACTTGATCAGACCCCTGGGCTAAAAAGAAGGACCAACGTGGATTTCCTATGCACAGAGCACAGTGTTGGCTGGGAGGTGGAGGGACACTAGGAATACTGAAGACAGGGACACAAGAAAGAGTTTCTTGGGACCATCCTGGTAATTATACCAGAGAAGGTAAGAAGACAAGTCTCTCTCACACCAAACCCTGTACTATGGGCACCCATAAGGACACAAAGGCCAAATTCCAGAGCACAACTAACTGCATTAACTAATTATAAGCATTAATAAGGACATTATTTCAGGTTTCAAGAAAATCTGCTGCTGAATTATAAGAGCAATAACTAAAGCATCATCAGAAACAAACATGCTTACCACCATTCTTTCCGATGCCCCTACTCAAACAGATTCAGAACTCACAAATGAAAAAAAGAGTGCTAAAAATACAATTAATTATAAATGCTCTTGCAAGTTTCCTTGTTAGTTTTTTACACTTTATCTTTACTTTGAAATTCCTCAAGTTTTGATTTGGGTTAACTGACACTAGGAATATACAATTTCAACTAAATGGGTCAGTTTGTTAAAACAAGTCTATGGAATACACTAATATGTTGTAACAAGAGTTCAACAATGAAAAAGGCTAGAGGTAGAACATTCTTATTTTAAGAAAATATAACATGATAAAACATTAACGAGGTTTCAAGTTATAATGTAGACTGTGTCGATTAAAAAGAATTTCCCCCCACTTGTGGTTATGTAATTTTAATATGAAGGTAACTCCTCACTGGAAGTATAACCTCTACTGATTTTTATATATAAGTGAGAATGTAATAACCACATTGAATACATTTTTTTTTTTTTACCTCTCCCAAAGAGAAATAGTGACGTGGAATCTGTGAATCAGGATAAATATTCTCTAGGTACCAAGAGAAAGGTTTGCATTGGAGTTTGTGTCTTAGACCAAGTCTTGATGCTATATCTCCGTAATCTACCTTCGTAACACCTGTTAAAAGAAATGAGTGACTGAATTATTAATGTTCTATTGGGTAGAACATTTCTATTTATGTATTACATCTAAGCCAGAGGAATGGGAAAAGTACCATTTTGGTGATGTGTGACTATAAAAAAGTGATATACCATAAATCCACTTTCCAAAGTATAAAACAAAGAAATATATTAGTATATACGTTTTTCAAAGAAAAATTAAACTTATGTGAGAATGATATACATGCTAATAATAATACAAATATGTTATATGGGATCAGAAAATTTTAATGTTAAGGCAAAAACAAAAATCAAGTTTAGCCCAAACACTGAACAGAAATTAAATAGAACAATTGTTTCCAGGCAGGTCTCTCTCACACAACTCACTGAATTGTGTGCCCTGCCACCCAACAGCCTTGTATAATTAAGAACTGAGGATGGAATGGTAACGCTGAGAGGCAGGTTTATAGCTGATGGAATAGCTATTCCCACAAAACTAAAGAGCAAAGAAAAGTTCCAGGAGAACAATCCCTTGAGGCATGCTACTACTGGGCACTGCACTGGCCTTGAGATTCTCAGCACTTTCATATACATGTTAAATGTCACAGTTAGGTTAACACACACACAGGTAACACCTGGACTAACAGTAATTTCTGCAGTAGTGACCTGGGTAATTTATTATTGTTAATAATGTATTATACCAGGCATTCTGCTAAATGCCTTTTTTTTTTTTTTTTTAAATCCTTTACCCCAGGATATGTTTTAATTGGTTTTTAGAGAGAAGAAGGGAGAGAAAAACATAAATGTGAGAGAAGCATCGATTGGTTGTCTCCCGTATGTGCCCTGACTGGGGATCGAACGAACCCACCACCTTTTTTGGTGTACGCAGTAACGCTCGGACAAACTGAGCCACTGGTCAGGGCTGCTGAGTGCTTTTTATACTGTGTGTGATTTCATTTATGTCTTATAATGACTTATGTAGGTGTTTGGACTCTGCTCAAAGCTTTTTTTCTACCTCTTCTTACCTCTCCTCAGAAGGCATTAGGATCAGGGACAAGAAAGTTAGTCTTGTATTTCTAATGCAGAATGATGCTAACCTGGAGAAATTATATAGAAGAAATTCTTGAATTCATCCATCCACACTTCTGCGAGTCGTCTGTTATTTTTATTAATAATCTGTCCTGTGCCTCCTGGAAACGTGTAAGGTGTAGCTTTCCGAAACACATGTCCAACATGTGAGCAAGTAACGATCTCCAAAGTTCCTCCACATTGCCAAATCTGAACACAACACCAAAGAGGACTAGATTTAAACACTGATAGCTTAAAAAGAAATTTGTTCACACTCGTTGAGTTTCATACTTGGAATTTCACAGAATCAAGGGCATATAGTAGATTCCTGATATATGGTCATAAAACCAGCAAACCTTTCTCTGTTTGGTTCTGATTAAACCAGAAGGTGAAGGTTAATTTCAGAAAAGATAGGTTAAAGGCTAAATACAGAAAAGACATGAGGTCTAGAGCACTGTTTTCCTAACTGCAGACCACGACTCATAAAAGGATCATAAATTCAAATCTGATGAACTGCAACCAGTACTTGCTAACAAGGACATACTGTTTCATGAAATGTTTGTTTTGTGTGTTGTGTGTGTATAATGAATAATGTATATATTAATATGGTTCACGGTCAAAACTCTGACCACAGAGTACTCAGCCAGAGTCCTATCTGTTCCTCCTTCCCCAAACCTGTGTCATAGCCTGTACATTAAATAGAAAGGACCTAGGACTCTAAACTGGATCTCTCATGAGTTATTCAGTGAGACAGTGATAACACACTCTGCTGTCCTTGTGAGCATAAAACAAAAAGGGGATAAAAGACAGATCAAGTATTGTTTCACATCCTTAATGAAATTATCCTTTTGGTCCTTTCAAAATACATTTTTTCATAAGCTAAAAATCTACCAACTGCTTACAATTAAAACTTATTTTGAAAAGTTGAGATTTTGTTAAATATTCAGTGTGCCTATTTTAACATTTTTCCAGGATCATAAAATGATAAAGCCGGATAGAATCTCAAAGGTGACTGAGAGTCCAAACCTCTCCTCTGTAAGACATGCACTAGGGAAGCCAGTTGGTTTCGATTACAGTGCAGTTCACTGTGGTTTCCACTATAAGCTGTGCATCCAAAAATTGATTATGTTTAGAAATACACAATGTCATTTACATAATATGCTGATTATTTTTAGAGCTTGAATTACTTCCTTGAAAATAACAGAAATTAAAAATAAATAGGGAATCCTGAATACATTTTATAAGTAGACTATTAAGATAACTGGATTATTAGCTTAAAATAGTTTATAATGAACTCTTAATAGTATTACCAACCTTTTGTGGAATGAAAGCTCTGAAGTCTGGTTAAACTCATACTAGATTCATTTTCTTATTTAGCAATAACATGAATAATTAAGGGATATCCTTATTTGAGGTTAAATGGATTACTTTTTGCAAAGGGAACTTACCCTAAAGGAAATTTCTAGGTTTTCTCCTCCCCAAATATCCATTCCAGCATCATATGTTCCAATTTCCTGAAAGTAATCTCTGTCTATTGAAAAAAGGCCTCCTGCCATTGTGGGCGTCCTGAAATTCAATCATAATACTATACCGTTAACTAACAATTTAAAATTTACAATCAGTTTTTGTTAAGTTATTTAGTAACTGTTTATAACTACAGAATAAATGCTTATTCCCACACTCTTCAGGAATGTTCCTACCCCCCCAGGGCTTTCTTTGTTTTTATGCTGTGTTATTTGGTTTCTAGACATGGCCTGCGCCCTGGTGATACTGTCACGGCTTTTGCAGGGACATCCATCTCTCTAGCCCCAAGGGCTCTTCCTGTCTTTAGAACCTTTAGTGGTCCTCAGGTTCTGAGCATCCATCCAAAAACTCCTGAAATTGAAGCTACCTCTAAAAATCCTCCCTGAGAGTGCACCTACTCCCTAGTTCCTAGCAACTATGTTAACCCATTGGACTCATGTTAGCAACTTGAACACACCAGGTTCTAGGGCAGCAAACGTTGTGGTAAATGTTGCAAAGCCGTAAGATTAAACGGGATGAAAACAACGTGGCCCTTTCCACATACCTAACAGGAACCTTTGAGGAAGGGAGATGAATACGTAAAGGATAAAATCTATACATTCTTCTAAGGGGATCATCATCCTGACCAAGTATGGTATATCCTCTGCAGAAGAGGAGCCTAGTTCACCAAAACATGGCCCACATGTGCAGTGCAGGTGGGAATAGGTGGAATTAAGCAGAGAAATGGTAATCAAGGAGATTTTACTGAACAAATACCAAACACCTTTTTTCCTTCAGAATGAGTGTGAAGAAAAATAGGCTCCAACTAGGAGGAAATTAAGTTCTAGGGAAGCACTATGGAGGTTACACTTTAGGATGAATAGGCCACCTCTGTTACTCTAAAATGTACTCATTCCATGCCCTAGTGAGAGTGGCACATTTGCTTGCCCAGTAAAAATAGCTGTTTCCACAAAAAAGTTAGGACTTATTTTTATTTTAGAAGAGAAAAAGAAAGAGAAAATCGAGTATCGTAGGAGTCAAAGAAAATGGGCGAACATCCAGTTATTTAGCACAGGGCTTTCTTGACCTGGGTTTTGGGGTATCTCTAAGTTTCCTAGAATTATGCAAACAGAAGATATAGCATATATGTGCAAACCCCCTCCTTAGAGGAGACATAGCATTTATCAGATTTTTCAAAGAAGTCCATCATTTACAAAATGTTTAGGAACACTTGGCTTAGTTGGTGATATGACCAGTCAGCAAAAGAGCAGGAAAATCCCTTTACTAGGACAGATCTCAAACTGGCTAGGAGAAAAGAGAATTATTGAAACCTCTCTTGTACTTTGTCAGAAATGAACTTGAATTCAAGAGAAGGCAGATCTGAGAAGCTCAGGATAGAAGAAGCTAAAAAGCCTGGTTCTGAAGGAACTCTGTTACTCCAGAAACAACAGGCTGATGCAACTGGGATAAATCCTGGAAAGCTCAAGGTCTCAATTTAAAGATTTTGAATAGCAGGAAGATTTTTATCACTACCTGGAAAAAAATCTATGACCAAATGTAGAACAAAAGAACATTCAGGAGTGCATTAATAAAAGTTCATTTTTAGATGTTTTTCAATTCTAGTTCTTTTTATATTTAAAACAAGCTTTTTAACCTTACCAGTCAGTAACTATCATCCAGATGGTGCCAGTCTGAATTTAAAATCTTACATTTTGGTACAAGGACCCAGTTTTAAGTAATATTTTCATAAAGTAACACTTATAACTAAGGGGTAGTTTGATTCAAGTTCACTATTATCCTTAACTGAATTAAAGCACAAATCTGACATATATTTGTAAAATGTCGTTCACATAGGAATGAAAGAGTATATGTATGTCACCATCATTTCTCAAGTGCACTAGATTTATATAAACAAAACTTCTAATTTTATTAATTGATCAGGGGGAAAATCCCTCTTTAAAGTAATGATATATATGAAAGATGGTACCCATATGCTTCATGTTTCTCATAATACACTTATAATCCTTATAATATGATTCCCAAAGCTTCACAATGCCCTGCCAGTAACACTCTACGGAAAATGTTTGACAAATTAATTACCTGACAGGAAGAGTCCGATCACCTTTCCTTCTGTCCATTTCTCTTTGGGGAACAGGATACCAGCGAAAATTGAGCTTCCAGTTGAATCCGCCATAGGTCATATCAGAACCTGCCATGTACTCAAAGGTATCATCACTGATCACATCAATGATGGGACACACCACCGTTTTCCTAAAATCATAAAGGCAAATTTAAAACCCTTTTAAAACTTTCCTTTTTGAGGCCTACTATAACAGTTGCCTACTAAGTGTTTTTAAAATAAAAATACATTCTATGACTGTTAAAGAGAATGGTGAAAAGATTTCCTGCTACATCCTACCAAGCTAACATCATAATTATCACATTTATTTATAACTTGTTGATAACCTTCCATCCCTTTTTCATTCATACTGTTACATATTTGCCATCAAACTGCCACATCTGTATTTTCACTGTAAGCATTGCTGAAAACATTGTTGCCTCAGGCATTTTCAATGCATAACTAATTGGCCATAAAAAAGATAAAATCACAACAATTAAGAGACATCAAAACATAAAATATAATGAAACAGGAATAACAAAATTTTTAAAACCTTGTTGGAAATGTGTGTAGATTCATGGCAATACTGTGCAAATAACTGATTTTATATTGTGGATTTGACCTGTGGGAAATGTGGGTTCAACTCTGCGACCTCAAAGAGGGCTCTCAGTCTCTTTCTCCTCCCAATGTACTGTTTCAAAATAAGAAACAAACTCTTGAGGCAAATCACTGTCATCTGAAAGAAATGCTAACTATTTTAAGATCACCACCACATCTACTCGTCACTGTATAGAGCATTGGAGGGCTAGCTAAGATTTATATATAATATAAAAATGGGAGTAATTGCAAGAACTTTGTCAATGGGGAAATGAAACCAACCAGCCAAATAAATCAATCAAAACTGCTAAAAAGTTATTTTATCTTTTTTACTAAAGTTGACTGATTCATCAATGGAGAAATGAAATCAATCAAAAAAACAAAACTGCCTTATAGCCAATTAGTTATGCAGAAAAATTATTTTTCTTTATAGAAAAAAACACATCACCTGCAGCTGACAGCACCTGTTTTTTTCCTTGCTGATCCTTATGCCCTGTATTTCCTGTATCAATCTGAAACCTAAGGCTTCTAATCATCCTGAGGAACAGCGGTAATGCAGGGAATCCTTATTTTGCTCCACACCTTTTAAAAAATACTTCCAACATTTCTCCATTAATATGATGTTTGCTTGCTAAGGTTTTGTTGGGCTTTTTTAAAGCTGTCCTTTCTCAGATTAGTAAATTTCCATTTTATAAGTTTGCTAAGTAATTTTAATTATAAATGGACTCTTTTACTGTATCTACTAAAGTGGTCAGAGTTTTAATGAAAGATAATCACAGTTGCAGAAATACGTTAATGGGGTGTATTATGTGAATTGGTTTCATATTAAACTAAACCAATTGGTTATGATATATGTGTAAGTCCATATAAAATATTATACATATTAATACACGTGTATATATAACACATATGACCCCCAACCCCCTCAGCTGGACTGTTTGCTGGTACTGTGATGTTTCTGTATTAGCGTTCATGAGCAGGTTTGAATAATCTGCAACGTCTTTTCTGGTTTTCCTATCAAGGTTATACTAGTTTCATAAAAAGAGTTGAGTTGGCTCTCTAGTTTTCTATGTTCTGTTTATAAATTCTGAGGAGAGCTCTGCTGCCCCTGCGCCACCCCATACCAAGGTGGAAACAGGTCCCGCGGTCTTTGGGGTGGTGGGATTTGTTTCTCCTCACTTACACTGAGGCACAGATGTGGGGATCCTAGCTTTACACAGGAGTTTGCTATTCATTTCCCACCTTACGTAGGGGGTAGGCCTTGTCTCCTATTCTGTCTTTCAAGGCAGAAGCTCAGTGTCCCCCCAAGTTCAGCAAAAACTGTACAAGTGAAAGCTGGCTTTAGTGTCTGAACTGCTCACTCGTTCTCACTTTGTTTTGAGATCTACAAAATTTCTTACTTGCTGCCAAGGCAGTGATGCATTTAAAACCGGGGTTTTTTTTGGATTTTACCCAGCATTTTAGCTTTCCAGCTGGAAAAGTTTTTCGGGATCCCTAATCTACCATACAGCCCAAACTGAAGCTGTTGTGACTATTTCAGGCAATTCACCCTTCCTATTTTTGTTGTTACCTCACTGCTTTTCTCCACAGGTCCAGGCTCCTGCTTCATAAAGGCTATATGTTGTCTTTATGCAAGCAAATATTTCCCAAATCAGTCATCTATTACTTATAGAAAACTGTACAGAGATATTTTGTTCCTTCTTCAGGCAATGTTCTTCCTACAGCTGCTATATCTTATCCCCCCCAGCGCTGGTTTTTCCTATTCATCTTTGAATGGGGAGAGAGGTAAGTCCAGCAATTGCTAACAAACAGAATAGATGTAATGGCTTTGACTTGCACTGTGCTTCACTTGACTAGTAAAAGTTTAGCCTGTTAAAATCTAGACCCCAAGGTTAAGTTGACATAGACAGGCTTTAGCTCAAACTGTGATGACAAACAGAAATTCAACTAACAGAGGTCTAGCAGGCTGAAGCTGGGTGCTCTCCTGATACATAAAATAAGGCAGAGCCCAGCAGACCATTCTTTCAAAGTGTGCATTATGGCCCTGGCCCGGTGGCTCAGTTGGTTGGAACAGAGCATTGTCCCGTACACCAAAAGGCTGTGGGGATTTAATTCCTGCTCAGGGCACATACCTAGTTTGCAGGTTTGATCCCCAGCCGGGGCGTGTATGGGAGGCAACCAATTGATGTTTCTTACACTGATGTTTCTGTCTGTCTCTGTCTCTGTCTCTCCCCCTCCCTTGCTCTCTCTAAAAAATCAATAAAAACATATCCTCGGGTGAGGATTTAAAAAAATAAGTAAAAAATGTGCACTATGAAAGACTACAACAGTGGGCATCCACAGCTCCCAATGCTCCTCCTGTATTGTTTAAGATTATAGTCCTTTTCAATATGCAATTAAGCATTTCAGGATGTAACACGTATCTCCCCACCCTTCTTCTTGCTGTACTACAGTTCCAGTAAGCATGCAGACAGAGATGGGATGACCTGCCTGCCCAGTGTTGGCTTTACAGAGTAGGGACAAGTAAAGGGTTTTATCCTACCTTCCCTGAGTTCACTGTCCGTCTGTTCTGCTCCCACTCAGTGAACAGAGTACATACACAGTATACTCTTAACAACAAGCTTCCTAATCCATCCTCACTAACAGGACAGTTTGCAAACATCCCAGACTTTAGAATGTGGTCTTCTTCATAGTTTAGCGTGCTCTTCTTCGTGGGTATTTTAAAGGAAACTTCAGAGGAAATTGTTTTTGTATTTATTCACAAATACAACTTACCATATAGTTTAGGACAAATGCACTGAAAAACAAGTTTATGGACTCCAAAAAAATTACCTGTCTTGTTTGATCCTTGCTAAGAGAGGCTCCAGCCATCCCACTGTGCACTCACAGTGAGCATCTAAGAAAGTGATCACTTGGCCTTTAGACACAGCAGCTCCTTTTAATCTGGCTCTGATCAATCCAGAACGTTGTTCCATTCGAATTACATGAACTGGTACTTTTAATTTTTTCACATAACTCTCTAGAGGTCTTTTCAAAAAGTCTGAAAAATTAACAAAGCAAAAATAACATGAAAAATCTGTGACCTGGCATGATCTAGATGGAAAGCAATTTTGATCTGCAATATTCATTCAACACGCACTTAACAAGCACTTTCAGTAAATTGTGAGGCTCTCTGACTCACAATCCCACTTTGCTATAGGGAGCCTTTTTATTTCCTGAGAGAAAATACTAGGGCTGCCTCTAACTTATTACACAAGGAATTAGGAAAGAGGATTTGGGTTCAGGCTCAATCAAAGATGGACACGTTACCACATTTCTCTAAGTGATTCTTAGGCTCAATTTTGCTTTTTCTAATCATGCTTAAGGATCAGGAACAGAAAGAATATAGTTCGAGAGCATTAAATCCAGAACGCAACAGAGAAAAGGAACAGAATATGTAATAGCTGTTAGAGTTAGAAAATTGTGGATTTCTTCAAAGACAGAAACTAATTGTCTTATTGATTACTACAGTCTTTGATTAGTAGTTCTTTTATCAGGAGGTAGAAAGTAAGGACAAGTTCAGAAGAGAAATGCTGGATTGTAACTGCAAGACCAAACAGAGATCCTTAACAGACAAGTAGGTCTCAGTAAAAACAGTTTTAAGAGGAAAGGGCAAGTGAAGAGGGAAAAGGGAAAGGGAGGGAAAGGGAGAAAAAGTGGGCATATGGAATTAAAAGCTATCCTAGAGCAGTGCAGATAGTGTATGACCCTAAACCACGGATATCCTGCCTCCAAAGTACATAATTGACTTTAAAGAGTAGACAAGGCTCAGCTTCCTCAAAGTAAAGAGAAAGAATTCTTCAGATCAGGTTATTTCATGGTATTTATGCCAGAGGAGCTATTGATGATGGTATGGCCAACTGTCCTTCCAATTACTCCCCACACAATAGGTACACTTTCTTTATAAAGAGAATAATCTCTCTAGGGAAGGAAAAACTTGAGATGGAATTACTGAGACGTCAATGACTGGCTTTGTCCCACAGGACTCCAATTATGGGAAGGTCACATATAAATCAAGCTGTACATATTAAGGGGATCTCTAAGCACTGAAAGTGGGGATCCAAAGGGCTTCTTATATAGTGGAGAGGGAAAGACAAAGAGGAGTGAAATGGTTCTTGTCTGTTTAATTGGTAAGAAGACCAGAATGGCTCAATACTGAAATAACTAGGGATATGATAACTGTGACAGAGAGAGGCCTGTGTCCCACTACACCAGAACAGCCATTGCTGCTACTGTATTTCCTAATATATTTGAGCTAAAAAGAGTATCTAAGAAATATCTGGAATAGAACTTCTACTTGATCACCACTGTGATTTTATGAACCAAACTTAGGGTCAGAAAGATATACTTTGACTCTGAGTAAAAAGGTGAGGGTAGTGCCAATCCCAGAGAAAAGCAACATTTTACAGCAGTAGCTATCATTTGTGTTTGTTTAGCACAATGGAAGGCTTTTTACAAATTTGATATCATTTAATACAAAGACACTAGGAGATTGTCACATATTTTAGACATGAAAATGAGGCTCAATATTAAATGAACTGATAATCAAGGTGACACAGCTTGTTAAGGGGTTAATTCAAGATTCAAAGCCATGTCTGCCTGACTTTGAAGCCCATCTTTTCATTCATTGTAAGAAATTCTAGCAGGAAGCTACAGAGAGAACAATTTGCAACTGTGGAATCATTTGATTTGACAAACACTTGAATTTCTTTATGTCCAGAGAGTTTGATAGACTCTCCTGTGGAAGGGTATGAGCTATATTCTAGTACTTTACACCAGTCATAGCTAGGTGTGTCATCAACAGTGTGTCTCCCAATATGTTTTCGCCAAAATACCAGACAGTTTAAAGTGCTTCGTAAGAATCAAAGCAATCTAAGTCCTGAATCGCACATGTTTGAAGGCTATAATACGCTGTCCTGTCTACAAATAAAATGAAAAACACATGATTCTTTGGTCTGGTAGCTCAAAAAAGTTACTATTCCACAAATTTTCTTGACATCTTAGTTTAACATGTTTGTGGCTTTCATGCAATAATGTTAAGAAATAGGTGTCTTCTTAATAGTTGATACAGAATTATGAACTCAGGGCTGGCGGAGGATTAGTAACTATTCAAGCCTTATTTTATAAAAATGAGCACAGGGGGTGGAGGTAGGGTTAAGTGATTATGACTAGAAGCTACTATTGTGATCTAAAAATAAGAGAATGTTGTTTATTAGAATATATCTACAGCTGTTAGCCTATAAATGGATGCCTAGGCATCTCCCCATCAGGGAGTGTGGGGTTTCAGAACAGGAGTGACAGGGAAACTTTCACTGCTCATAGAAAATCTGAGAAATCTTAGCCAGAACTCTAGAGCTATAGAAAAAAAGAGCAAGGAATTTAGAGTCTAATAAATCTGACTCCTAATCCCTACTAAATAAGAGCCTCCCTTTCCTTTTGTGTAAAATGAAAAAAAAAAACACAGTATCATCTCAGATGAGGAACATTCTATCAGTTCTAAGTCTTATGATAACCTGAGATGACAATTACATAACTTCTGACATGAACTAGGGACTCGTCTAGACTGTCCTCATTAGAGACCCTGTAAAGTTGTAACAGACATAAAGTACAGAGCAGTTAAGAGGTCAAGCCCTTAGTTTATGCTAAGCCTCATTTTCCTCATCAATAAAATAGAGATAATTACAGAATCTACTCTACACTTCTTTAATAAATGGAGCTACTGACAACTCAATAGGTTAACTGAAAAATCAAGTATCCTGAGGCCATGAACAGACTGTGCAGGCTATACAACCTAATTAAGAAGCTTGAGCAGACAAGAAGTAAAAGCAAAGATAAACTGAATGGTAGATTACTCATTCATTCATTAAATAAATCTGTTTACTGAGTAACGGGCACTGTGGATGCTGAGGAGATAATGGTGAACAAACAGACCTGATGGAGTATAGAGTCTGTAGAGTCTAACTGGAAGATTGGGGGGAGGGGAGGGCAGGAGATAGTCATCAGCAGAAAGTGAACAATTAAACCTCTGGTGAGAGCTGTGGAGGAGGGCAGAGTCTTCCAAGACGTGTTCACAGGGATAAAACCTGATCTTGGGAGGTCAAGGAAGGTCTCTCTAAATGTAACTTGATTCTGAGTGAACTTCTGAGCTGAGCAGTGGGGTGGGGTGGGCAGGGATGCTGCAGGACATGACTGAAGATGCAGCAAAAAGCCAGGCCACGGGGCCTCTGAGGGAAGACTTTAATGAGAGCAGTGGCATGATCAGACATGCATGTCTGAAAGCTCCCTCTGCGTGCAGCATGGTGAGCAGATGAGGTGGGGTAAGAGTGTATATGAGAAGATGGGTTAGTATATTTCACCAGTCCAGGTGAGAAATGATGGTGCTTCAAGGTGTCTCATGAAGAAGAAAAAGCAGACTTAGAGAGTTACTTAAAAATAAAGAACTTGCTCTGTTCCTGGGCCCAACAGTTACCACCTAAACAAGAGAGCCAAAGAAAATTACATTAGATAATTCTCAATCTGGATAGCAAGTCTACAATTATAACCACAGAGACACAATGCTTAGTGGTTCCCAAATATCAGAAATGGTGACATAAGCTCCTGAGGCTTTTTAGGCAGGAAGATAAAGGAGAAGCAGGCCTCTTCTGGGGGCTTTGGGGAACACTTAGGGACCCTGCTGAGTGACTAAGACCCCCAAGTGGAGCAGTGAGGTAGATGTCTGCTTGCATGTTTTCTCTTACAGATTGAGGAAGGGGAAAAAATAACTGATTTATGTGAGTTTCTTTGTCACTTTTAGAGTTGTGGGCACATGTCTTTGTAATTAGGCCACATCCTACAAAAACTTACTATTCCACACAGCTTTCTCAGGCACCCAACAGAATAATAGAGAAACCAAAGGAGGAAATGGAAAACTAATTCATCTGAAGAAAAATATCTCTTCTTGAATACTTAATTTAGCAAATATCAACATATGGGTAAAACAAATACAAATCACTGTAGTAAAGATGTTTGTACAGATCGCTGCTTAAATGAACTTCAGTTAATTTTCTTAAAGGATTAACTCCTAGCAAACAATCCACACAAGGTTTATGTTTCTATTGTCAACAGTAATTATTTGTTTTAAGTGTATTCTTAATTTATAACAGCTCTCATTAATTTTTACATTAATTGCATTATATATTATACTATTATTTAAATGTTTTGTATGATTATAAACTGTTTCCTTAATTAGAGTGGGGAGATAAAACTGTAAGGTATGTGACAAGGTAGGACTATAATTTATTATTCATTTATACCTCTATAATCTGGCAAAGTAATAAGATTTAAACTGTTATTAATGTGAAAATTGCTCCCAATAATTGGGATATGAAGTGATTAAATTTAATCATGGTTATATATATACACATTCAGTGTGGGCAATGGAAGGAGAAGATATAATACATGACTAAACTATTTTAGCAGATGTAATGAGAGATTAGGCAAGAGAGTTGAAGATACTAGTAAAAGAGGTTGAAATGATGGGTTATGAAGTTTAAGGCTGATCATGGAAGGGAGAGCCATTTTTTGTAGTTCCCTCCAAATTTTTCTCTTGTGAGCTTAAGAATATTGGGGGAACACATGACACCAATGATCTAAATAGGTGTGCTGGGGTGGAGGGGAAGCCTGGGAAATACTGGATAACTCTGAATTTAACAGATTGCTTTATTTGATGGACTAAGCAGAACCTTTTTCTACATTAGCTTGTAGTGTGAAATCTCCAAGAAGGATTTAGAATAAATAATGTTGGGCCAAGGTATTTTTTAATTAATATACCTTTCCAAAAAGAGTATTTCATGAAACAGTTTGAGAGATTCTAAGTTCATGAAAAATTCTGAGATTGTTAGAAGAATATTTGGGCAGGAGTCACCATGGAGACTTATGACAGGTCAGGGTCATACACCACCTTTTCTTATGTTCCTTCGTCATCCTTTTCTGCACTTGCTATAGGTCGGTCCTGAACTTAGAAATGGAGTAAAATGGGAAAACCTAGGAACAATCTGGGGAACTAAAGCTCACCCACTAAGGCTTCATTTTGGGGTCACAGACACTTCCCACTGTACATGGAACTAAATTTCTCCATTCATGGCTCTAAATAAGATCCAGTCTCTTTCTAATAACTTGGGGCTGCAGCTCCCCACAGAGAAAATCCTAATAAAATTATGTGGATTTATTTACTATTCTGCATAAATGTTTATATTATATAGCATTTCTTTTTAAAAACAAGATTAAGATGAGACACAAAAGCTAATTAAAGTAATATTTTAAGTTTCACAGTATGTAATTTTTTTTGCATATGTGAATGAGTCCAAATGCCACAAATATTTTTAGGATAAATTAGAAGTTTGTATAAAGTTATTAGGTTAAAAATGATAGCAACTAGTTTTTTTAATCATTAATGACAAAAGGTGTAGCATATTATTGGTGTTACAATTTAAAATTTACCTCTTTCACTGGCATCATCTNTACGTGATCTGGTACTTTTAATTTTTTCACATGACTCTCTAGAGGTCTTTTCAAAAAGTCTCTTTCACTGGCATCATCTACTAGAACAATTTCTTCTAGCATGTGTCTTGGTGAGCGATTAATGACACTATGGACAGTTCGCAGAAGTGTGCTCCAAGCCTCATTGTGGAAAACAATCACCACACTTGTTGTAGGAAGATTATCTGGATACACCTTTGTTTTACACCTAGAGACAAAGCAAATGCCTTTATAAAAAGTGATTGTTAAGTTAGCACAGTGAATGAATCCAGACTAGAACGGGTAATAGAACAATAAAAACAGTTTGCTCTAGTGGTGGGAATCTTAGAAACTTTTTATTTATTTAAGTTTTGGTTAATGTTGCATATTTAACAACTAGTACCTATTTAAAGTTATATGTTTAAATTAAAATTATTTTAAAGAGGTCAATTGTATTAAAACTAGGTACCTCTCCCTGAGGAACGTTTTCTGTTGATTCAATTTAATGGAGAATGTACTAAGGCTGTGTATCAATCTGAAACCAAATTTATCTCAAGAATCCAAATGGACAAAAAAAAAAAACCAGAACCACTAGAATCTACACAATTTAATAATCTAAACAAAAATATACCCTCCACAAAGGAAGCACTAATATTCAGTGAGTATCTGTGGTGTTCTAGGCACTTAGGCTTCCTAATAATTCTGTGAGGTGCTTTGAAGCCACATTCACAGCTGGAAGCTGAGGACAGACACAGCCAGGGAGCAGCAGAGCCTGAATGAGGACTCCACAGACTAGAACTCCATTTGGTATGCTCTGCTTACCAAGTTCTCAATGCTGCCTCCTCCACACTGAAATATCAACATGCATCATTTAGTAAAGACAGTGTCTAGAAATGCAATCATCAGAAAGACCAAACACACAAAAAAATATATGCACACAGAATCAATGTATTAACTATGCTTCTAGCATGTTGTTTTAGGCAACATGGTCTCTCCCTTCAATCTAGTCAGCAAGATGAAACTACCAGGTAACAGGCCAGTAGAGAACAGTAACAGTAGCAAGTAACCAGATACCAAGGGATGTGCTTTAGAACATAAACACTCCTAAACAGTGCATATGGAACTCTTAGGTATCCCCAAGTTGTCACTGTTGCTCCAGCCTTCTCTTTCCACCTTTCTTCCTGCTCCCTAGCAACCTCCCCAAACCTGTGGTCTCTCCAGTCTCATCTGTTATTACCTGTCAATGGGAGTGAAGAAGGAAAGGAGGAGGAAGAGATGAGAAAAATATCAACAAAACCCCATTGGAGAAGCTGCCACAACAACTGTACTTACTGAAAGCGCCACCCTGGGGCTGCTGGTTGGCAGCGGGAAGAAAAAGAAAATGGAAGGGGAAGAAGCTGACATGGTCAAGGGGTTGAATAAAGGAGAAATGGAAAGGCGAGTTCACTAATAGGGGCCCCATCAGCACTGGTCCTCCTTCTCTCCAAGGAGAAAAGGGAAAACAAATAGCTTCCACTGTCCTCCTCATGAAATCCCATTTCAGCTTCTCCCATCCTCTTTACTCTTCCCAAGACCCTCTGTTCACAGAATGGTCTCCATCTCCTATTATTAGTAACCTCACTATTCAATGACTCAAAAGACCCATCACCTCATTCCCATGTCACAAGTCTATTCCCCTCTCCTATGGTCACTCCAAGATCCACTACAAGGCCACTGTACAGCCTGCCACCCTGTCTACATTTCCCTGCCTCCAGGTCTAGGCTATGGAGGTGAGGCCAAAAGACTAGTTGTGTAGGCTATGGGATAATATGTCCTTAGCATTCCAAATAATTCTGAAAATCGTTTTCCATCAAAACACTTTTGTCACAAATGGTGACTATGTGTGTGTGTGTGTGTGTGTGTGTGTGTAAATAAAATATCATTAGTACTATGCTTCAGGCACATCATAGGTGAGCAAGCCAAGGCTCTCACATTTTCATGGGAAGACGCATCCTGAAAGCCTCACAGCCTGCTTGAACAGGACTCTGAAGTCAGGACTGGCCTGGATACAGGTAACAGGGGTTCAGAAAAAGTTTCTGGTATTATTTAACTGAATCATATTAAGTCATATTTGATCTCTTTCCCCAAATTAATCCTATTTTTATTTTTTAAAATATATCTTTATTGATTTCAGGGAGAGAGAGAAACATCAATGATGAGAGTCACTGATAGGCAGGAGGCAGCTGGGGATCAAGCCCACAACCCGGGCTTGCGCCCCGACCCAGAATCAAACCCGGATCTCCTGGATCCGAGGTCGATGCTCAACCACTGAACCACACCTGGCTGGGCAATCCTACTTCTTATTATAGGAGAATTAGGAAGCAAAAAACAGCCAAGGTGACTAACAAAGCTGCTAGCTTACCAAAACAACAAGAACAAAACTGAGTGAGACACAAGGTGATTAGGCAACGCAGCGTACAGACAGCAGCGTGAGCCACGTGCTTGGCCCAAAAGTGCACCGGGAGAAAACAGGAGCACCTGACATGGCAGGGTTTTTGCAGAAGAGAAATGATAAGCCAGATTTATTTCTTCGATAATATGTTCAAGAATTCTGAAATTCTATGGAAAGGAAGTAAGAACACTAGAAATAAAGAAGACTAAAATGGAAATTGTTCCCAATAGGATCGAAGAACCAAAGAAGAAAAGCAAATATTAGGATTTTAATAAAAAAGAAAATAATTTCCTAAATCAATTAAATTTAATCATTCAGAGAACATAAATTCACAAGTATTCTCTCAAAGCAAAATAGAAAATATATATAGAAAACATGGGGAAAAGCATGATAACAGATCTCAGAACAGATAAACACACATACCCTCCTCTACCTGGGAAAGCCACAAGGCACTTAAGAAGAACCAAAGATCCTTTCAGCATTCTAGCTAAGCTTTTCCCATGGAGGGGCTACCTGTTCTTGTGGAGGTAAGAGTTGGGGATTGCTCTGGGGGTGGGGGACACAGAGCTGCTGATGAGCAGGAAGGCCACAGGCAGTGTTATGAAGCAGCTTTCACCTGCCCTGTCCCAACTGAGTCATTAATGAAAATTGGCCAGTGTAAGGTCGTACTACTTTTTAAAAAAAGTTATGTACAGCTTTGTGGGTTAGAAGCAGAGGGAATAGTCTTAACTTTTCATTGAAATAATATATATATATGTATATATATGAAAGCTGACAAATCCTAAGTATGTAGCTGAATGAATTTCCACAAAATGAAAGCATCAAGTGGTCAGCACTCAGCTGAAGAAACAGACTGTCACCAATACCCCAGAGACTTCCTTTGTGCCCATCAAGAATGTAGAGAGTTCCAACTGTCCTGCACCTTTGTCAGCACTTGATACTGTAATTTTTATTTTAGCTATTTTAAAATATATATTTTTTATTGATTTCAGAGAGAGGAAGGGAGAGGGAAACATCAATGATGAGAAAGTCATTGATCAGCTGTCTCCTGCACGTCCCCTGCTGGTGATCGAGCCCACACCCTGGCCATGTGCCCTGACCAGGAATCAAAACGCTATCTCTTGGATCCTAGGTTGATGCTCAACCACTGAGCCATGCTGGTCGGGCTATTTTAGCTATTTAAATAGGCATAAAGTGGTATCTCACTACAATTTTAATTGGCATTTCCGCAATGGCCAGTGTCTTTTCATGTGCTCATTTGCCATCCATATAGCATCTTGGGTGATGTGTCAAGTTTTTTGACATTTTATTGCATTCAATTTTTTAAAAAATTGGGTTGTATGTTTTTAGAGTTCTTTCTATATTCTAGATACAAGTCCTTTATTGAAAGTATGGTTTGCAGATATTTTCTCCCAGTCTATAGCTTGTCATTTATTACTCTTGACAGTGTTTTTAGCAGAGTGAAGGTTTTAAAATTTGATGAGGTTCATCAAATTATCCGTTTTGTTCTTTTATGAAATCATGCTTTTTGCGTCATGTCTTAATACTCTCTGCCTAATGCAAGGTCCTGAATATTTTCCCTAAAAGTTATAAACTTTTAGGTGTTAGATTTAGATCTATGATCCAGTTTGAGTTAATTTTCATATAATACATGAGATTTAGGCCTAGATTAATGTTTTTGCATTTGAATATCTAATTGTTCCAACACCATTTGTTGAAAAGATAATCTTTTCTCTAATAAGTAGCTTTTACACCTTTGTAAAAAATCAAGTAGCCATATTTGTGTGGGTGTATTTTTGAACATTCTATTCTGTTCCACTAATCTATACTTCTGTCTCTTTGCCAATACTACACTGTCTCTATTACTGTGGCTTCATAGTAAGTTTTTAAATTGGGTACTATATGTCTTCTAACTTTATTCTTTTTCAGAATTATTTTAGCTGCTCTATTTCTTTTGCCTTTCCATATAAAATTTTAAATCCCTTGCTGGGATTTTGAATGTAATTGCATTAAATCTGTACATCCATTGGGAGAGAACTGACATTAAGTGTTCCAGCATAGCTGGACTTTAATTTTTTACTCTGGTGCACACTTCCTGTGACTGAATCTTTGTTCTTGGACAAGCAGAGGAGACAGAAAAAGAAAAGCAATGGGGATTCTGCCCATGCTCTGGAGACAAGAGGCCCTGTGGTCAGAGAGCAGATGCCCCTTCCCTGAGTTTTAGTTGCTTGCCTGGATACTGCTCCCGTAGTGGTGCTGCCTTGGCAATACGGGCTAGGGATTAGACTATAGAATAGAAAGAAAGCAAGGAGTGGGGGAGTAGAAAACATAGGGGTATTTCTCTACTCTCTAACCATTACGAGATCCCTTTCTTGTTCCTCAGGCCAGAAAGGAGGTTTCTCTTGGGACTCCCTTTCTGTACTATGTGCACTTCTGTGTTTTGGACAGCCTTCAAACCCAGACTCTACAAAATGTCTAAACAGTCTCTTAAGATGTTTAGAAGCACCAGCTATAGTATCAGTGAAGTCTTCTTAAAGAAATCTCTCCCGAAATTTTCTGAGCTGGTTGCCTCCATGCCTGTACCACTAACATGGAAGCTCGCCCTTGACCATGCCCCGGGGGGTTCTATTATTCCTCTTACACATTGGATCTCCTCTTTTCCTCTTCCTTAGTTTACTCCTTTGTTTTGGCTGAGAGCACAGACTGAGAAAGGATAAGAGGAGATGGGCACTGTTTCCAACTACACCACCAATCACTACCATAGTGAGCGGATGCTATTAATGGGAGTAAGTTATATA